AAGCGTGGGATTACAGGCTGAGCCACCAAGTCCGGCCACTCTCATTTTTTCAACTTCCATCCCGTTGTGAGGCCAGGGCGGGACGGCCTGTTTTGTTGTGGTGGTGGTTTGAGCCAGAGGCTCACTCTGTTGTCCAGCCTGGAGTGCAGCCTCCTTCTGCCTCAGCCTCCCGAGTAGCTGGGACTACAGACGCACACCACCATGCCTGGCTACTTTTTTCAAATTTTATTTTTTGTAGAGATGAGGTCTCGCTGTGTTGCCCAGGCTGGTTTCAAATTCCTGGGCTCAAGCAACCCTCTCACCTCAGTGCTGGGATTACAGGCATGAGCCACCATGCTCAGCCTGATCAGCCTGTTTTGAGAGGACACGTAAGAAGAGGCCATACGCCTCTCCTGGAAACCGAAACCACAAGAGGGTATTACATGCTTATTCATCCATTTACTTACCTGGTATTCATTGAGCACCTACTATGTAGCACTAAGAATTTAGGGGCTAGGCCGGGCTCGGTGGCTCAGCCTGTATTCCCAGTGCAATGGGAGGCCGAGGTGAGTGGATTGCCTGAGCCCGTGGGTTCAAGACCCACCTGGGCAACTTGGCGAGATCTCATCTCTACAATAAATCAAAAAATTAGCCGAGGGTGGTAGCATGCGCCTGTAGTTCTGGCTACTTGGAAAACGGAGCCGGGAGGATCCCTGGAGCCCAACAGGTTGACGCTGGGGTGGCCATGAGCATGCCACTGCACTCCAGCCTGGGCGACGAAGTGAGACTCCAACTCAAAAAAACATATATCAAAAAATTAGCTGGGTGTAGCTGCAAGTGCCTGTAGTTCCAGCTATTTGGAAGGCTGAGGTGGAAGCATCGCCGGAGCCCAACAGGTCGAGGCTGCAGTGGCCAGGAGCGGCCACTCCAGTCTGGGCAACAGAGCAAGACTCCAACTCAAAAAAAAAAAAGAATTTAGGGGCGGAAAATTAAAAATGACCCAAACAAAGATTTCTGCCCTCGTGAAATTTCCATTACAGTGAGGAAGACAGACTAGAAACAACAAAGTAGTTCCAGCTACTTGGAAGGCTGAGGCGGGCAGATTGCCGGAACCCAGCAGGTTGATGCTGAGGTGGCTGTGAGCGTGCCCCTGCACTCCAGCCTGGGTGATAGAGAGAGCCTCCAGCTCAAAAAAAAAAATTAAAATAAAGTCACGGCACTTCAGGGTCAACTGAGAGGACAGAGGTGGAGAGGAGGGCTGGCCAGAGCCCTGTGACATCCAAAATGAAGAGGCTAGGAGGAGGGGAAACCAGGATGTAGACACCAAGGGAGTGACCCACCAGATGGGGGGGACCTGGAGGGTAGGTTGTTCGGGAAGCCAAGAGAAGACGATGCTGCAAAGAGAGGGAGTGGGCAACGTGGAAGCCAGGGGAAGCCAGCCTGAGACCCGGCCATGGGTGGACTTGCTGGAAGAGCGTTGGGTGGCTCCTTGCTGGGGTGACAGCCTGATGGGAGGAGGGTTAGAGAAACGCCAGACAACGCTTTGTGGTTATTTGGGGAACTGCAGGCTGAAGGATTTAGGGGTAAACTTATACAATGTCTCAAACATATGGTTAGGAAAAAATTATAGATGTGTATATATTTATATTTTTATATATAGATAAAACAAAAATTATAAGACATTTAAAATTGGTGAATCTAAGGGGTATGCAAATGAGTGATCATTGTACTGTTTTTTCAGCGTTTCTGCAAGACCGGTTAACATTTTCACAGTTACAAAATGCTGGGGGAAAAAGAGTGGACAGAGAGAAACTGGAAACTGTGCAGACTTTTTTTTTTTTTTTTTTTTGAGTCAGCGTCTCACTCTGTCACCCAGACTGGGGTGCAGTAGCATGCTCACAGCCACTGCAGCCTCAACCTGCTGGGCTCAAGTGATCCTTCTAATTCAGCCTTCCAAGTACCTGGAACTACAGGCATGCACCACCACGCCTGGCTTAATTTCTGATTTATTGTAGAGACGAGGTCTCGCCAAGTTGCCCAGGCTGGTCTTGAACCCCTGAGCTCAGGCAATCCTCTCGCCTCGGCCTCCCAAAGTGCTGGGATTACAGGTTTGAGTCATTGTGCCTGGCCTCAGACAACTCCTTCAAGGAGATTGGCGCATATGGCAAAAAGATGGATGGTCGTGGGTATTATAGGACATAACATGTTGTTTTCTTTCTGTCTTTCTCTCTCTCTCTCTCTCTTTTTCTTTTTTTTTTTTTAGAGACAGAGTCTTGCTCTGTCGTCCAGGCTGCTGTGCAGTGGCACAATTATAGGTCACTGCAGCCTTGAACTCCTAGGCTCAAGCGATCTTCCTGCCTCAGCCTCCCAAGTGAGGCACACTCCATCATACCTAAGTTTTTCATTTTTTGTAGAAAAGGGGTCTTGCTATGTCACCCAGGCTGGACTCAAACTCCTAACCTCAAGCAATTCTCCCACCTCAGCCTCCAAAAGTGTAAGTTACCATGCCTGGCTTCTGTGTGTGTGTGTGTGTGTGTGTGTGTGTGTGTTTTAAGATGGAAAAAGTTTACAACATATTTGTAATAATCCAGAGAGAAATAAAGAGATAAAAAGAAGATGCAAGAAAGAGAAGAAAGAATCGCTGAAGCCCTTTCCTGGTGCTGGGTGTAGAGCAGAGTGGAGGAATCAACTAGGAGTGGACAGGAACAAGGAGTGTCCACCTGCAGCCTTGGGTGGGCGGGCAGAGGTGTGGCGTCGCGTGCATCACATAGCTCCCTTCTGCTTCCTTTAATTTCTTCTCTCCTTCTCTCCCTGATTCCTTTGAGTTGCCCAGGCTGGAGTGCAGTGGCACAATCCACAGCCATAGCAGCCTGCCTCGACTTGCTGGACTTAAGCGATCCTTCCACCTCAGCCTCCAAGTAGCCAGAATTATAGGCATGCGCCACCATGTCTGACTCGTTTTTTGATTTTTATGTAGAAGAGAGGTCTCGCCATGTTGTCCAGGCCGGTCTTGAACCCCTGGGCTCAGGCAACTCTCTTGCTTCCACCTCCCAAAGTGCTGGGATTACAGGTGTGATCCCCTGCACCCAGCTTGCCTTAATTTTCTTAGTGAGGTAGGAAGCAAGGCTGGCCTCCACCAGAGAGAGTGAGGATCTGAGGAGTGAGAAAGTGTGAACCCTCAGGAGAGTGGGTAGTGAACAGAGCAGGGGTGGCTTGGATGCACCCTGGTGGCACTCGGCTCCCCCAGAGGACCTGTTTCTGACGTCTGAGCCCAGGGGTCCGCCCTTCCTGGAGAAGCCAAAGACTAAATGGCCTTGGGAGGTTCCTTCTTACTAGTGTGCCCACCTGAGGTTGCACATGGTGCTGGAGCACTGGACTTGGAGTCAGATGGGACAAGTGGCTGTTTCCCAGTAACGGTCTGATCTTGAGCTTTTCTGGACCTCAACCTTTGCAAAATGTAATGAGCTCTTCCTACATAGCTCTGCAATCATGGTAGACTGGAGGTTGTACAGGTAGGTATTATCCTGAGAGCTGATGCAACCTGGTGGTTCAGAGTGTGAGCCCTAGGCCAGGTAGAGAGGCAACACACCTGTAGTCCCAGCACTTTGGGAGGCCAAGGCAGGAGGACTATTTGAGATCAGGAGTTCAAGACCAGCCTGGGCAGCATAGTGAGACCTCGTCTCAACAAAATACCTGGGTAGGGCACAGTGGTGTGTGCTTCTAGTCCCAGCTACTTGGGAGGCTGAGGGGGGAGGACTGCTTGCCCCAGGAGCTCAAGGCTGCAGTGAGCCATGTCTGCACCCCATGTCTGCACTCAGTGAGACCATGGCTGTCTCCTTAGCAGCCACCATAGACTACATGCTTACACCTTCAAGGCCAAGCACTGCAATAACCTTCCCTGTTCACGTGAGGAAAGAGGCTTTGAGGTGTTACACAGGTAGAACCATGATTTGAACTCAGGCTCTCTGACTCTAGGGCTCATGCAATTTTTGAGGCTGGGTCTCGATCTGTTGCCCAGGCTGGAGTGCAGTGGCCATTCCCGGCCACCGCAGCCTCAACCTGCTGGGCTCCGGTGATCCTTCCACCTCAACCTTCCAAGTAGCCGGAATTACAGGCATGCACTACCACACCCGGCTGACTTTTTGATTTATTGTAGAGATGAGGTCTCGCTGCCCAGGCGGTCTCGAACCCACAGGCTTGAGACAATCCACTCACCTCAGCCTCCCAAAGGCGCAGGATTACAGGTTGAGCCACCGAGCCCGGCTTAGAACCTGGTTTTCAAAATTAACTTCTTCTGTTGTGTAAGAAAAGGCTCCCTGGCCGGGCACAGTGGCTCACGCCTGTAATCCCAGTACTTTGAGAGGCCAAAGTCGGAGGAACACTCAAAGCCAGGAGTTTGAGACCAGCCTGGGCAACACAAGACCCTGTCTCTATAAAAAATTTTAAATTAAACTGAATGTGGTGGTGTACTCCTGTCGGCCCAGTTTCGTGGGCAGCTCAGGTGGGAGGATTGCTTGAGACCAGGAGGTCGAGGCTGCAGTGAGCCAGAATTATGCCACCACACTCTAGACTGGGTGACAGAGTCTCTGTCTCATAAAAAAAAAAAAGCCAGGTGTGGTGGCTCATACCTATAATCCCAGTGCTTCAGAAAGCTGAGGCAGGAGGATAACTTGAAGCCAAGAGTTCGAGACCAGCCTGAGCAACATAGCAAGACCCTGTCTCTACAAAAAATTCATTAAAAAAAAATTTAAAAACTCAGGGTGCCGTGGGCCTCACTTCCTGGAGCTGAGCAAGTAAGGGCTCCTTGGAAGCAGGGCTGGGCCTTTGACTTGCCCTGGTACCTTGCACTGCTGGTTGAATGGAGAATTTAGGAAGGAGGTCTTGCTTCAAAAGCAGACACCACCCACACATTCAGAGCCCACCCTGTTGTCTAGCGTACTGGGCCTTTCATTGTCTCGACAGCTGTCTCCCTCTCTGTCACTGTGTGTTTCATGTCCAGTCATTGCTGTCTCTGTTGCTGCGGATAAAGGAGCACTGCCTGCCACCTCAGGTCCAGGCTGGGACAATCACATCTGTCCTAAAATGCTGACCACAGCGATGCCAGACAGCACAGCAGGTCCTGGGCTGGGAGTCAGGAGACCTGAGCATCCCTCTTGCCTGACCTGGAGCTAAGCAGCCCTGAGATTTGGGATAAATTATTTCTTCTCTCTAGCCTCCTAAACGTGGGAAGTCTTGTCAAGAGTAACCTGGCTCACACAGAGCATGGTCACTTCTGGGCCCGTGGTGACAGCTCTGAGGGTGGCTTTTGGCTCTTTCTGTGCTCAGACCAGGAGAAGCGACAGCAACTTACAGGCTCATTCTTGCCGGGTTGAATTCGGTAGCGGGTGATGCAGTGGGGTCTCCCAGTCGTGTCAACCACCAGCAGAAGCCCATTGAAGCCCCAAAAAAACAGGACTGGCAGCTGAGTGGCACCTGCGGTCGGGAAGCAGAAATGGTCAGGGAGGCTGCCGGGCTGCAGCCTGGGATTCGCTGAACACACTTTCTTTCTTCCTTTTTTTTAATTTGAGTTGGAGTCTCACTCTGTTGCCCAGGCTGGAGTGCAGTAGCATGTTCACGGCCACCGCAGCCTCGACCTGCTGAGCTCAGGTGATCCTTCCGTCTCAGCCTTCCATGTAGCTAGAACTACAGGCACGTGCCACCATGCCTCGCTAACTTCTTGATTTATTGTAGAGATGAGGTCCCACCAAGTTGTCCAGGCTGGTCTCGAACCTGTGACCTCAGGCAATCCTCTCACCTCGGTCTCCCAAAGTGCTGGGATTATAGGCATGAACCACCATGCCCGGCTTGCTGCACACTTTCTACAGTGACAGTCCCTTGCCAGGGAGGTCTCAGGGCTCAGGACTAGGGACCTATCTTTAGTCCTGGGTGACAAATTAACCATGGGAATTGGGACAGATCATTTAAGGAGTGTCTCTGTTTATTTTTATTTTATTTTATTTTATTTTGAGTCAGAATCTCACTCCGTTGCCCAGGCTGGAGTGCAGTGGCACACTCATGGCCACCCCAGCGTCGATTTGCCGGGCTCCAGCGATCCTTCCACCTCAACCTTCCAAGTAACCGGAACTACAGGCGTGCGCTACCACACCCAGCTAATTTTTTGACTTATTGTAGAGATGAGGTCTTACCAAGTTGCCCAGGTGGGTCTCGAACCCATGGACACAGGCAATCCTTGCATCTTGACCTCCCAAATTGCTAGGATTACAGACTTGAGCCATCACACCTGGCTATTTTTATTTTGTTTTATGTGTTTATTTGTTTGACCCAGAGTCTTACTCTGATACCCAGGCTGGAGTGCAGTGGCACGATCACAACTCACCACAGCCTCGACCTCCTGGGTAAGGGTGACCCTTCCACCTCAGCCTCCTGAGTAGCTGGAACTACAGGAATGTGCCAACACACTTGGCTAAATTTTAAAAAAGTTTTTGTAGAGATGAGATCTTGCTATGCTGCCGAGGCTGGTCTCGAACTCCTAAGTTTCAGCAATCCTCCTACCGCGGCCTCCCAAAGTTCTGTCATTATAGGCATAAGCCACTACACCTGGCCTTGCTTATTTTCTTCACTGTAAAATTGGGACAACAACCTTCGAGGTGGTTGGTGACTCTGATATTTTGTATATGTGTGTATGTAGACACAGAATACACTCTTAGCCGGGCTCGATGGCTCAGCCTGTAATCCCGCACCTTTGGGAGGCTGAGGTGAGTGGATTGCCTGAGCCCGCGGGTTCAAGAACCGCCTGGGCAGCGAGACCTCATCTCTACAATAAATCAAAAAATCAGCCAGGCGTGGAAGCGCACACCTGTAGTTCCAGCTACTCGGAAGGCTGAGGCGGAAGGATCGCCGGAGCCCAGCAGGTCGAGGCTGCGGTGGCCGGGAGAGGCCACTGCATTCCAGTCTGGGTAACAGAGTGAGACTCCAACTCAAAAACTAAAACAAAAACAAAAACAAAACAACAAAAAAAAGAATACACTCGAAAACAGAAATGAATTCAGGTTGGCATCTGGGAGTCTGTGCCCACTGACCCTTTATGAACTGTCAAGGAAGAAGCAAAGCAGGTGCTGGGTGTGGCATGACTCACAGCGAGCACTGGGCCAGGAGTCAGTCGGGAAACAACTCTGTTCTAGTAAGCAAGCAGCCAAGCCTTCGGTGCCGTCTGTCAGTGTTCCCAAAGAAGAATACTCCCTTTCAAGGGGCTCCCTGTTAAATGGTCTCCACACCCTACTCTTTTGGAGAGTCACGATCCCTACTAGTGTGTGAATGGCTTTGAGGATTCTCGCAGAAGAGAAGCCTGTTTGAGTTTGCTCAGCGTAAACCTTCCCAGTCTTCTTTGATTGCAGAACACTGTCTTCTCAGAATACCTAAGACTGATAGTTTCCATTTACATCTGTCATTTCAGGAGGTAACTAACAACACCTCCTTTCAGTCTCACAAGTGCCTCTCTCTTTTTTTTGAGTTGGAGTCTCACTCAGTTGCCCAGACTGGAGTGCAGTAGCCGCTCCCGGCCACCGCAGCCTCGACCTGCGGGGCTCCGGCGATCCTTCCGCCTCAGCCTTCCAAGTAGCTGGAACTACAGGCGCGTGCTACCACGCCCGGCTAATTTTTTGTTTATTGTAGAGATGAGGTCTCGCCCAGTTGTCCAGGCGGGTCTCGAACCCGCGGGCTCAGGCAATTCACTCACCTCGGCCTCCCAAAGCGTGGGATTACAGGCTGAGCCACCGAGCCCGGCCAAGTGCCTCTCTTTTATTTTTATTTATTTGTTTGAGTCAGGGTCTCACTGTGTTGCCCAGGCTGGAGTGCAGTGGCATGATCATGGCTCACTGCAAGTCCGACCTCTTGGGCTCAAGCATCCTTCTGCCTCAGCCTTCTGAGTAGCTGGGACTACAGGCACATGACACCACACTCAGCTTATTTGGTTATTTTTTTTTTTGTAAGGATGATGCCTTTCTATGGTGCCCAAGCTGGTCTTGAACTCCTGGGCTCAAGTGACCGCCCACCTCGGCCTCCCAGAGTGCTGGGATTACAGGCAGGAGTCACTGCGCCCAGCCACAAGGGTCTCTCTTTGAGTAATACATTATACAGCTCACTAGTCACATCCCATGGCACTGATATTTGACAGAATCTCTTAGAAAATACTGATCGAGCCGGGCTCGGTGGCTCAGCCTGTAATCCCGCGCCTTTGGGAGGCTGAGGTGAGCGGATTGCCTGAGCCCGCGGGTTTGAGACCCGCCTGGGCAGCGAGATCTCATCTCTACAATAAATCAAAAAATCAGCCGGGCGTGGTAGTGCATGCCTGTAATTCTAGCTACTTGGAAGGCTGAGGCGGAAGGATCGCCGGAGCCCAGCAGGTTCAGGCTGCGGTGGCCGGGAGCGGCCACTGCACTCCAGTCTGGGCGACAGAGTGAGACTCCAACTCAAAAAAAAAAAAACAAAAAAGAAAAAGAAAATACTGATCGAGACTGACAAGTTAGACCTGGCTCTTTGCTTTACACCCATCTCTCCATGAAGTCTTGTGCCAAGTGTCTCTGATGTCGCTCTGTGAACAAGCTGCACTTTGCCACCCCAGCTGCCAATTATCCCAGTGTAATCCCAGTGTCACCTAAGTCTGTGCTGTTCGTTTGATTTGTCCATGACTCACCCACTCTGGGTTCAGACTCCCAAGGGCAAAGGCAGCCCTCTGCTTAACTTCATGTCTGTGCTCTCCTCCAGCACCCTTCCTGCTCCGTCAACCACAGTGTCTTCTGGCACTTAGGACCCAGAAAATACCTGCCAAATGCTGGGCATGGTGGCTCACACCCGTAATCCCAGCACTTTGGGAGGCCGAGGCAGGAGGATTGCTTGAGCCCAGGAGTTTGAGACCAGTCTGGGCAACTTGGTGAGATCGCATCTCTACAGAAAATAAAAAAGATTAGCCAAGCATAGTGGCACACACCTGTAATCCCAGCTATTCGGGAGGCTGAGGCAGAAGGATCACCTGAGCCCAGCAGGTTGAGGCTGCAGTAGCCATGATCGTGCCACTGCATTCCAACCTGGGTGACAGTGAGATCCTGACTCAAAAAGAAAGAAAAGAAAAGAAAGAAAAAATACTTGCCTGCACTGTTGGGGGAACAGGATTGGCAAAGGTGTTCTGAGGGGCAATTTGGCACTATCGGAAGTAAAAAGCAAAGTGAGATGGAGAGAGAAAGATCCAAGAGAGAAAGAAAACAAGGACACGCATCTGCTTGTATCCATCAATGTCCATCATGGCATTTAAAAAAATCACAGGAAGCCGGGCTCGGTGGCTCAGCCTGTAATCCCGCACCTTTGGGAGGCTGAGGTGAATGAATTGCCTGAGCCCGCGGGCTCGAAACCCGCCTGGGCAACTTGGCGAGACCTCATCTCTACAATAAATAAAAAAAAATTAGCCAGGCATGGTAGCACTCGCCTGTCGTTCCAGCTACTTGGAAGGCTGAGGCGGAAGGATCACCGGAGCCCAGCAGGTCGAGGCTGGGGTAGCCATGAGTGTGCCACTGCACTCCAGCTTGGGCAAGGGACTACAGACTGAGCCTCCGTGCTTGGCTTAGAATTTCTAAATACAGAATGAGTTCCGGCTACTTGGAAGGCTGAAGTGGAAGGATCGCCGGAGCCTAGCAGGTTGAGGCTGTGGCTACTGCACTCCAGTTTGGGCGACAGAGTGAGACTCCAACTCAAAAAAAAAAAATACAGAATGAAAAGCACAACATAAGATGATCTTGCTGGGTGCAGTGGCTCACGCCTGTCATCCCAACACTTTGGGAGGCCAAGGCAAGAGAATTGCCTGAGCCCTGGAGTTCAAGACCAGCCTGGGCAACAGAGCGAGACCTCCTCTCTACAATAAATCAAAAAATTAGTGGGGCGTAGTGGTACATGCCTGTAGTTTCAGCTACTTGGGAGATTGAGGCGGAAGGATCACCTGAGCCCAGCAGGTTGAGGCTAAAGTGGCTGGGAGCGTTCCACTGCACTCCAGCCTGGGTGACAGAGTGAGACTCTGACTCAAAAAAAGAAAAAAAGCCGAGTGTGGTGGCTCACACCTATAATCCCAGCACATTGGGTTGCAGAGGCAAAAGGATGGCCTAAGCCCATGAGTTCGAGACCAGCATGGGTAACTTGGTGAGATCTCTCTACAATAAATCAAAAAATTAGCCCAGTGCGGTGGCACATGCCTGTAGTCCCAGCTACCTGGGAGGCTGAGGTAAAAGGATCGCCTGAGCCCATTAGGTCAAGGCTGCAGTGACCGTGAGTGTGTCACTGCACTCCAGCCTAGGTGACAGAGTGAGACCCCAACTCAAAAAAAAAAAAAAAAAAAGATCTCAAGCTTTCTTCCGGCTCTAAAACTTAAAATTGCAAATATTTTATCCTCTGGTATTTGCTTATCACCAAGGTAACAGGCAGTTTTCACAGCATCATAACAGAAGGACATAAAACATTTTCCCATAGACATAGCGATCTGCCTTGTCCAGTGATGCTGAAGATGCCACTGGATCTGTCTTATTTAATGCTCAGCCCTTTTTCAGAGTTCTCCTTCTGGTTGAAAACAATCTTCAGGGGTTTTTCTTTTTTTCTTATTTTTTCCTTTGTTGCTTTCTCAGGAGCAATTGTATATGTACCTTTGCTTTGAGACAACTGATACTCTTTACTCTCCTTGTAGACTGTGACATAGTTTTGAATGGGGTAGGCAAATCTTTCATCTTAAGTATTTCAAGAACCTCCATACAAGTTTGGGGCATTATATTATATTAACAGTATATATTAATACATTTATATTTACTATATACAATATAATACATACATCAACCATATATTAATAAATCTGAGTGAATGAATGCACGATTGAGGACATTTCCTATTATAGAGGATGCTGTTATAAATATCTCTGTTTAAAATGTCTTTTTCTTTCCACTTCTTTTTTTTTTTTTTGAGTTGGGGTCTTATTCTTGCAGTAGCACACTCATGACCACCGCAGCCTCGATCTGCTGGGTTCAGGAGATCTTTCCTCAGCCTCCCAAGTAGCTGGAACCACAGGCATGTGCCACCATGCCCAGCTAATTTAATTTCTTGATTTATTATAGAGAGGAGATCTCACCAAGTTGCCCAGGCTGGTTTCAGACCCCTGGACTTAGGCAATCCTCTTGCCTTGGCCTCCCAAAGTGATGGGATGACAAGCGTGAGCCATGCACTTGGAATGCTTCCATTTATTTTCTTAGGTTTGAGGCCAATTGTACCGGAGTAAATATTTACTGAGGGGCCACTTGCTGTCAAGCATTAATTGTACCAGGTCCAGGGACACAGTCTCTGACCCAACGGAACAGCTCTCTGTGCTTATAGGATTATTGCTCTAAACATGGATTCATTTTTACATAGACATTTCTTATTTTTCTTATTTATTTATTTATTTACTTTTGAGTTGGAGTCTCACTCTGTCGCCCAGACTGGAGTGCAGTGGCACGCTCATGGTCACCCCAGCATCAACTGGCTGGGCTCAGGCGAGCCTTCTGCCTCAGCCTTCCAAGTAGCCAGAACTACAGGCGCATGCCACCTCACCTGGCTAATTTTTTGATTTATTGTAGAGATGAGGTCTCGCCAAGTTGTCCAGGCTATTCTCGAACCTGTAGGCTCAGGCAGTTCCCTCACCTTGGCCTCCCAAAGTGCTGGGATTACAGGCTTGAGCCACCACGCCCGGCCCATTTCTTATATTTCTATATCTGGGGTGGAAGTCTCAACTTTCCAGCTTCTTTTCTCAGATATCTTGTTTCCAGACCGCCCACAAGTTTAGGACTCCCTGGGGTTACCACTTTTTTGCACGTCAAGTCCTCATCCTTTGGAATAATAAGCGGAGAAGTCCCCAAGCAGAGAACAAAACAGCTGAGCAAGAGCTCTGCCGCACCACGTGCCCATCCCAGACACTTGGGGGTCTGGGCCCCTCACCTATAATGAAGAGGATCCACTCCTTCCCTTCAAACGTAGTCAGCAGCTTTTCCCACTGGGCTTGCCAGAAGTAGCCAGAGGCGCCCCAAAATCTCTGCAGATGCCTTGGAAGAAAAGTCATTCAGGTTTCCAGCTGCAGGGCGGGGGTGGACCACTCCCGGCCCCCACTCTGCCCGACCACCACCACCTCACCCTCGTCCTGGATGAAAGTGGACAGAGCCGACTTACCATGTGACTGAGTTCCAGAAGGCCACGGACAGAAGAAGGCCAGAGCCCAGGATGAAAGCCGTCTTCCTCATGGAGCCCCAGATGTGGCCCTCCTAGGGAGGACAGGAAAGCCTCAGGCTCCAGCTCCTGCCTTCGCACTGGCTGCTGAGGTTCAGGGCTTAGCCACCCTGCTGGGAAGCCACCTCAAGGACTTTTTCCCAGCCTCTGCGGGAGGATCGCACTTATCAAGCCCTCTCGGTCTACTGGGTGTATCTATGAAGATTAAAGGTCAAGGCTGGGGTAGGGATGAGACTTGGCCCGACTCCAGAGACCACTAGCTGGCCAGCCTCTGATAGCTTTGGAGTTCATCACTAGTCCTCTCAACAGGTGGAGACACCCAGTGTCTGTACCTTGGGATTTAAAAAAAAAAATCACAATGCCCAGGAATCTCTGACCCAGTTACATAAGTCTCTGGGGGTGGAGCCGGGCTCCCTGGCTGATTTCCATGGACAGGCAGTGTTGAGGTTGTCACAGCAGGAGCCACAGAATCTGCGATGAGGACGGCCCTTCCCAGTCACAGGACCGTGCTGTGTCCACAGACCAGGCCTCTTGGCCCATCCCCGCCCCCTCTTGCCCTGGAAGAAAAGAATGAATTGAACACATGTTCTGACTTTTAATAATTCCTCTGCCTTCCAGTGGGATTAGCCCGGGCTGCCAGCTGGACAGGACAACCAGCTGTCCTGAGGCTCCAGGGGGAGACATTTGGCAATCACTGGGTGAGATCTTTATACATCCTCCTCCAAAAGGTTGGCCTCTAAACCAGAGCTCAAGCACGGGGCAAACAACAAGGCCCCAGACTCAGAGAGGGGAAAAACCAGCTGCCAAGTGTATCGCCAGTGTTCGCTGTACCACAGACAGGGACGATAGATAGCACACTCACAGTTGATGTTTCTAAACCAAGAGTGGTGATGCATGCCTGTAGTCCTAGCTACTTGGGAGGCAGAGGCAGGAGGATCGTTTGAGGCCAGGAGTTTGAGAGACCAGCATGGGCAATATGTGAGACCCCATCTCAAAAAAAAAAAAAGATAAAGACCAAGCCGAAGTCATTTTTCATGCTCAAGGTCACCATGAGATTGCTAGACAGGTGACCTTAGGCTTTTCCAATTATTTCTTTTTCAGGATTCTGAAGGCTGTTTTCAGGAACTTTTCTAGACTCACTGGGAATTTTTCATCTTCTCAGTTTAATTAAACCAAATTAAGTCAAATTAAAATTTCAATTTCACAGCCTGAGTAACATAGTGAGACTCTGCTTCTACAAAAAATAAAAAATTAGCCAGGCATAGTGGATCATGCCTGTAATCTAAGCTACTCAGGAGGTTGAGGTGGGAGGATTGCTTGAGGCTAGGAATTTGAGGCTGCAGTGAGCTAAGATCACGCCGCTGCACCCCACTCCAGCCTGGACAACAGAGTGAGACCCTGTCTCTAAAAATAAAATAAAAATTTTTTAAATGAGAAATTAAAACCTCAGTTTGGTCGGGCTCAGTGGCTCAGCCTGTAATCCCAGCACTAAGGGAGACTAAGGCGAGTGGATTGCCTGAGCACGTGGGTTCAAGACCATCCCGGGCAATTTGGTGAGACCGCCTCTCCACAATAAATAAAAAATTAGCTGGACATGGTAGCACGTGCCTGTGGTTCCGTTTACCTGGAAGGCTGGGACTGAAGGATCGCCGCAGCCCAACAGGTCGATGCTGGGGTGAGCATGCCACCGTACTCCAGCCTGGGCGATGGAGTGAGAATCCAACTCAAAAAAAAAAAACCCCAAAAAAACCTCAATTTTATATATAGGATTAGATATTTTTTCAGGAAGGTGGGTTTCTTAATCTATCAACCCAGATGAGGGACATATAAGCAGGACAAGGGTCCCCTGCGAAGCATAGGAACATGAACTGTATAAGTTAGCTAAGGTCATGAACCAGTTCCCAGACGCCCCCAAATGGTCTCTGTTGTCTCCAGAGCAGTCATTTTAAAAAAATGTGTCATCACTTCTTGGCTTTTTGGCTAATATCAAGTGTAGTATCTGTTCTTATCAGTTTAATATCTGATACATCCTCTATCTGAGGACAATATATTAAATGGATTTTTGGAGCAGGGAGTTGGAATAGGAGCTTGCTCCGTCCACTCCACGCATCAGCCTGGTATTGCAGTACTTCCAGGAACGGTGCAGAAAAAAAAAAAATGGTGTCTACAGGCCAGAGGCACAGGGTCTGCTGAGGTCCACAGGCAGGTGAGCCAAGGGACAAGGGAGGACAGCTGTGGGTTTCCCTCTGTCATGCAAGCTGAGGGGCTGTGGTTAGGGTCTGTTGCCCAGGCTGCTCTGAAACTTCAGTCCTCAAGCAGTCCTGCCGCCTCAGCCTCCCAAGTAGCTGAATTACAGGTGTGAGCCACTGTGCCTGGTCCCTGGGGCTGCGGTTATAAGGTAGTCTGGAGTCAAGCAGCCTCTGCTCAGTCCCTGAAAAGAGGACGTCCCATACGTCAGCCACCCTGAACCAAGGTTGCCGTCAGTGCACAGCAAGTGCCATCATGGAAAGAGCTGCAGACTGTGTCCTCACCGGGTCGGCAGGCAAAGGGCTGGTGCGTGCCTGCTTTGACCTCTCACTGTGCAGCATCTTCCCAGCTTCTGCCTTCATCTGGAATGAGAAAGCACAGGGGAACCTGGGGGTTACGTTCACATGCAACCAAGGAATAGACAAAATCAAGGTGAACGGTTGGCTGTGATTTTTAAAAACACAGCAGGTGACCGGGCGCGGTGGCTCACGCCTATAATCCCAGCACTTTGGGAGGCCGAGGTGAGGTTTGCCTGAGTTTACGGGTACGAGACCAGCCCTGGCAACTTGGTGAGACCTCATCTCTACAATAAATCCAAAAATTAGCCGGGCATGGTGGCGCATGCCTGTAGTTCCAGCTACTTGGAAGACTGAGG